GTTCCGCGGCGCGGTGCACGGCTTCTCCCGTGGCGCGTCGGGTTCGGAGGGTCGGCCTCCAGGCAGAGCTCTCCCGATGGAACTCTGAACCTCAGCCTCCGCGTCCTCTCATCTGAAAAGGTTTCCTGAAAGACAGAGGAATGGAGGAATCGCTAAGCCAGACGCAGCGGCTGCGTGAGCAGCAGGTGGCCAGCTCTGAGGGCGGGTATGTGCGGCAAGTCACCCGTATGAATCGCCTGCACCGGTTCTTACGTTTCGGGTCTGAAAGTGGGATTTACTATATCAAAGAACAGAAGCTGGGCCTTGAGAATGCTGAAGCTTTAATTAGGTTGACTGAAGATGGCAGGGGATGTGAAGTGGTCCAGGAAGTAAAGTCGTTCAGTCAAGAAGACAGAACCGCAAAGCAGGTGCCTCTGCTCTTCGCCCTCGCCGTTTGTTCCCAGTGCCCTGACAGGAGCACCAAGCAAGCCGCTTTCAGAGCTGTTTCTGAAATGTGTCGCATTCCTACACACCTCTTCACTTTTATCCAGTTCAAGAAAGAGCGTAAGGAAAGCTTGAAATGTGGCATGTGGGGCCGTGCGCTCTGGAAGGCTATAGCAGACTGGTACAATGAGAAAGGTGGCATGGCCCTGGCCCTGGCAGTGACTAAGTGTAAACAAAGAAATGGCTGGTCTCACAAAGATCTGTTAAGATTGTTGCATCTTAAACCTTCCAGTGAAGGACTTGCTGTTGTCACCAAATATATTACAAAGGGCTAGAAAGAGGTCCATGAATTGTATGAAGAAAAAAGGCACTTTCACCAGCACAATCTTAAGAGGTCCACGCCATCAGTGATCACGATAAAAATCCGAAGCTACTTCCCAGCTAATCTTAATCCAATGACAAAAGATAGTAAACAGTATAGTATGTGTATCATACTCAAAAAAAAAAAAGGAAAAGTTAAGATGAGCCCAACGTTCTGTCTTCTAAACTAGCTCTTGGGAAGTAGCTTCAGAATACTGTAGCCCCCTCTGTCCAACAGAGAACTTCTTGTTGATAGACACTGTGAAATAGTCAAGACCGTTTTGCTTTGGTGAATAATCATGTTTGTACTTAAAAGAAGTGAGAGCCCAAAACGTAGGTAATTCCATATCATGTCACTTGTGTGAGAAATGCTTAAAGGTTTCTTGAGTGTTTTCATCGGGAAAGGACAGCTTTGGTAATGTCCAAATACTCTGAAATGCACTGGACCATGTGAATGTGATAGAATATGAAAATCCATCTGTAAACTTTTATACCAAGGGGGTGGAAAAACCGCAACACTTAATTAAATTATGAATGATTTTTACAAATTCCTTGAACAGTTTTCTACAGCCACATAAATAGCAGGTTTCCTAGCCAGTGAAAAATGTATTTTGTTCTATTTATACTTGTAGAATTGTTACCATTAACCACAAACTAATGGAAACCCCTGAAAAGAGATTCTAAAGTATGTCAGCTGAGGCAGTCTGTTTGGTATGCTTTTGTTTATTGCTAAGGGTCATGACTTGACAGTTTCCTCTGACTTATAACAATATAGCCACATGTAGGCACATTTTCTTTTTTTCATACTCTTAAATGAAAACATAAAATGTTTCAAGCAATTTAACTTCCCCACTCATACTCTGAAAATATAACAAAAAATCAACTGTAACCAGACTAGTTTTTTCCTTTAAAATCATTTTTTTAATTACTTTTAACTATTTTTTTTTAGCAAACTGTAAATAGGTTTTAGATACTTCTAATTGTAAACACGTCAGTGGCCTCCTGTCTCTTTGTCCATTGTGCATTTGTGGCAAAACCTTTTTTGATAGTATAAAAAAATAATAAAGCAGGCTAAGTTTTTCAGGTATGAAAGGCAGTTTTTGAGTGGCATATCAACACTAACCAGTCTGTAAGAAATTAATTTTTCTATTTTATTTGTGTATATTAAACTTCCTGTTTATTATAAAGTGCATTATTTTCATGAGCAAATATCCTTTCTTTGTGAGGAGGTTAACCTGTTGAAATGCCAATATATTTGCTCATAATTATATGGTTGTCTAAAATAACATGCACATAAAACTTCAGGTTCTATGTATTGTTCTTTAAATGTAATTAAAGATTTACTGGGGATTTATAAAGGCCTTCTCACTATTGTATGAAAAGCCAAACTAGTAAATGTAAATTATAGACTTTGGTGTGCTTGGGGGTTAGAGGTTTTATGTTTATGGGGAGTGGGGCTTAAGTAATGTTAGAATTTGTATACTTTTTTCGTGTGTTTCATGAGAAATTTGGGCTCTAGGAGTGACAAGAAAATGTTCATTTTAAACTTGTTTGTCGTATTAATGCCTTCACGGCAACTGGTAGGAATATGTAAAATATTGTGATCTACCTGAGGTTTTTTGGTCAGCAAAGCTAGTAGCCCCACCACCCCAAAAAAATACATTGCTTCTGTCATTCTGCTTTTTGCCCTCTGTCAGGCATTGGATTTGACATGTTAGCTACTTTTAATACATTAAAATACCACGTTCAGATTGAATTTAAATTTTAAAGAACCTAATAGAATCATGTAATAGTACTTGAATTCTTTAAACCCTAGATCTTCTTAAATTAAAAATTATAACATGATTAACTTTTTATTCCTAATAGAAATGTTAAGTGGAACATAGCATGAATGTTTCTTTCTTTCAGTTTTATACTATTTCTATAGTAGTTTTAGACAGATACTGTTTAGGAACTAATAGTAGATCAACCAAAGCAGAAAGATTAGATGTGACCTTTTTGAAGTCACATAGATAAGTCTATTAAATGGGTGAGGGTAAGATTTAAGAAAGAGGAAGAAAAAAGAACTAAAAGCCACTGCACGAGGTAGCTTTATTTTCAAATCATGGCGCTCTAGAGTTGGGAGAAACCTGAGAGATTGCAAAGGTCATTTTTTCCTTTAGGCTAGGGACCCGAGGTTCTTGAGGGGCTTCAGAGCCCTGGCCCTAGGAATCTGCATCTCTTCCTCCCCAGGGCATGGGGAGATGCTGACTCACAGAGCAGGGGGTGAAGTCCAGTTCTTCTTCTGTCTTTTTAGGTATTAGGAAATAATGTAAATACATGACTGGTTTAGGAGTAGACAAGCAGAGAAATTGTGAGCATGTATACTTTTGTAACTCACTGTAACCCTCAAGCACAATTAACATCTCCATAACCCGCGTTGCTATATAACATAGTCCTGTAGAAAGAATAAAAAAAACTTACCTCATTATGAATAACATGTACTCAAGTGATCAAGTTTTATTTTCTGTATTACTTTTAGTGTTACTGCTGATTAGGGAAACGTTGCTTTTTAAAAAAATCCTAAGAAAAATAAAGTTAATTTCCTTGGGAAAAAAAAGTACATATATAAGATAAATTGTATTACAAAGAACAGTCAACCTGAAAGGTGTAGCGCTAAAGCCATTTTCATTAAAACCAGAAACAAGGCAAGGACACTTGCTATTTAGATGAAGACGTAATGCTGCTTTGGAAAATCTAGTAAATAGAATAGTACCAGGGGAAAACAAATTGGGACTGTGTTTGAAAAGAAGAAAGAAAAGTTTTTGTCGTCGATAAAATTGTATGCCTAGAAAACCCAAAAGCCCTGGTTAAAAAAAATTTTGATTAATAAAGGAATCAGGTTAAGGTATATAGAGACAAGAAAAATATACAAAAGTCTTTATAGTAATAATCATCTCTGTGTTATAATAACCAGCTAGAAATTGAAACAGGGAAAATTGAATTCTCATTTGTATCAAAAGTAAAAAAAAAATATGTAGAATAAATTTATTCTAGCAAAGGACTTATAATGTAATAAAACCCATAAAGTTTTATTGAAGGACAGAAAGCTAATCAGAACAAAGATACACTATGAGAAGACATAGAGATGTAACTCCTTAAACCATTTATACATGCAATTCTCATACGAATATAATTTTTGTATATTTAATTTACATAATCTAGAGTTCATATGAAAGAACAAGAGTTTGAAACTAGTCCAAAGATTATAAAAAGAAACAGTGAGAGGAAACGTGACTGACACATATTTAACAGTCATTGTAATCCAAACAGTATGCTATTTGCATTTGATTAGACAAATATATTCATGAAACAGATTTCTTAGATATAGATCTCATTAGGTAGATATATGAGAGTTTAATATAAAAACATTCAGTCCAGTGGAGGGAGAAGATGATTTATTTTATAACTGGTGCTGACATAACTGGCTATCCATAATTTCATTTTATTTTATTTATGATTCACATACTGTAATGCTTTGTTTTATTACTGAAGTATAGTCAGTTTACAACATGGTGTCAATTTCTGGTTTTACAACATAATGTTTCAGTCATACATACACATACATACATTTGTTTTCATATTTTTTCATTATGGGTTACTACAATATATTGAATATAGTTCCCTGTGCTATACAGAAGAGACTTGTTCATCTATCTTATATATAGTTGTTAATATTTGCAAATCTCATGTCAGTTCTGAGTCTGTTTGGTCTCAGATTCATTTCCTGTCCTTCTGTTACTCCTTGAGCCCTTCGAGGCTGCCTTTTCCATTCTCCTTTGACAAGTAGTCTGGCTGGGTTCTAGCCAGGGGGAGGCTGTGGGCGATACCTGGGCCTCAGGGGGGAAGGGAGAGACAAGGTATTTCTCTGCATGGGGGGGCATCTCCAGCAGCAGCTGCATCTTGTCATCTTCATAATAGCTTCAGCTCCTGTGCGACAGGTCTCCTGGGGACTCAAGCTTCAGTCGAGGAAATGCACCAACAGACAATTCCTAGAGGATAATACAAATGACTTTTCTTTTAGGCTAGGTTCCCCAAGACACAGACTCTGACACCAGGGTTCAAGGGGCATATCTGGGAGTGGGGAAGTAAGACAGGGAAGTTAAGGGGCCAGTAAAAAGTACACCATTAAGTAAATCACCACCTTTAGGAACCGGAGCTTAATGTTGCTGGGGAACTCTGGGAAACAGCCCAGACACATA